TTTTAGAGGATCCAGTACACACATGCAAGCACGCAAATTTGTTAAAGGACAGATGAGAACCTCTGTGCTTGGGATCTGGCATTTGGCTCTGTCACAGAACAACCTGGAACCTTGAACATCTGCTTCTGTGACTAACACCATTTACACCCTGTGGAAACACCTCTTGCCCTGTGTTCTTGAAAGAAAAGGCGGCTGGGTTGGACTGCTGTGAAGGTTTACGAGTTATGCCTCTGTTGAGGTCAGAAATGGGACAGCTCATTTTAGCTGGGAATAGCTAAGCCGCAGAACTGAGGCAAGAGAAAAGGCAAATTATTAACTTCCAAATACTTCCTCTCAGATCAGAGGAATTCAATGGAATTGTGCACAACCGACCTCCTCTCAGATCAGAGGAGTTCAATGGAATTGTGCACAACCAAGATATGTTTCCCTTTAGTGAGTGTCCATTTTCCTATTTTCCTTATTCTTATTTGTGATTCTGGAGCTCGTCAGAATTAGTTCAGTAGTCACAACAGTTGCACTGTTGGCTAAAGAACTATTTCTGCAATATTAAACATTTGATAATTCCTATTATATTTGTGTGTATATATATACACACACATATATATAGGTTTATAAGTAACATAAGTGAAGCTTGATACTGATTCTCTAGTAACAAAGATATTGTATTAAGATAAAACAATTTGCAATACCTATGATAATTTAGGACAAAATTAAAAATATCCTACTATTTTGTGATAATTGATCTTATGTATTATGGACTGAATGTGTATGGGATCTTTGGGGTGTCAATTTTCTGGCCAGCACCTTTGCCCGAGTTCTTGTCCTGTGTCCAGTCAGAAGGAGGTACACAGAGAAGTGAAGGGTGAACATGACAAAGAAGAGCTTTACTTAGTGTTACAACAGCTCAGAGGAGACCCACAGTGGGCAGCTCCTCTCTGTAGGCGGGTCATGTGTCCAGTATTCAGTTCTCATCTGGAGAGGGTGGCTCCTCTCTGCTGGCAGGTTGTCTCTGCAGCTCTCAGTGGAGAACGTAGCTCTTCTCTGCAGTTGGTCATCCCATAGTCTCTCTGTCTTCTTTGTACTCTGCAGACCTTTCCCCTGCTCTGGCTAAGCCCAGGGCTTTTATGGAGCTCAGAGAAGAGGCAGTGCATGCTGATTGGTCCGCGGGTGGCCGTGGGCGCCCGGAAGAGGCACCATGAGTCCCCACTCTGGTTGGCGGGACTGGAAGCCCGGCCTGAAGGTGGGGCCTTACCAAGGACCCACCCCCTTCCACCCAGGGCTCTGCCTCCCACTGCCATTCAAGGCCTCGGGGCTTGGCCCCAAACCTGCTCCAAGATAGGAGCTGGCTCCAGGAGCGGGGAGCGGCCAGGCGGCGGGAACAGACATCCCCGAGCCAGCAGGGATTGGCCGATGGGGCCTTCTCGAGCCCCAAGGGTGCAGGCTGCAGAGATGTAAACCTGCCCAGGTCCTGCGTCTGAGAGGGCAGCCACAGCTGCACCCAGGGAGCTCCCGCCCAGCCAACTTGGAAAGGTCAGGGTTCCTGCTTGTCCTCGGCTTCTGCCTGCTCTAAGTGCGAAGCCCAGGTCTGCAGCTGTGGGTCAGGTGGTTGCAGTTGCACACAAGAGGGCAGATCCTGCCTCCTTCCTGCCCCGTCCAAGGGCACAGGGAGGTTCGGACTTACAGCCGCAGTTTGGGCAGCTGTAGTCCCACCCAGTAGGGCAGGGCTCCCACCAGCTCATGGAATGTGCAGCCCCAGTTGCGCCTCCCTGCTGCAGTAAGAGTGATGGCAGCAGCCACCGCCATCACGTCCAAAACTCCAATGTGGAAGCCCTAACCTCCAGTGTGACTGGAGGGAACTGGAGGGAAATGGGGTCTCTAAGGGAATAATTAAAGTTAAATGAGGTCATAAGGGTGGGGTCCTGATTTGATAGGATTAGTGACCTTATAAGAAGAGACACCAGAGAGCTTGCGGCCTCTCTCTCATAGAACATACTCAAGGGGTCACTAGAGCACATAGCTGGATGATGGTCACCTGTCAACCAAGAGAACAGGCCTCAGAATGAAACCTGCCTTGCTGGTCCCTTGATCTTTGACTTCCCAGTTTCCAGAACTGTAAGAAAAAAATTCCTGTTGTTTAAGTCACTGAGTCTGTGGTCTTTTATTATGGCAGCCCAAGTAGACCAAGATAGTGTTCTAATACAGTGTGTAAAATTTGTGATTCACTTCTGAATCTAAATATTGCTTTAAGAATTTCATTAGCAGCCAGGTGTAGTGGCTTGCACTTGTAATTTTAGCACTTTGGGAGGCCAAGGCAGGAGGATCACTTGAGCCGAGGAGTTCAAGACCAGCCTGGCCAACATGGCAAAACCCTGTTTCTACTAAAAATACAAAAATTAGGCTGGGCGCAGTGGCTAACACCTGTAATCCCAGTACTTTGGGGGGCCGAGGCAGGAGGATCACTTGAGCCGAGGAGTTCAAGACCAGCCTGGCCAACATGGCAAAACCCTGTTTCTACTAAAAATACAAAAATTAGGCTGGGCGCAGTGGCTAACACCTGTAATCCCAGCACTTTGGGAGGCTGAGGCGGGTGGATCACGAGGTCAGGAGATCGAGACCATCCTGGCTAATACGGTGAAACCCTGTCTCTACTAAAAATACAAAAAATTAGCCGGGCGTGGTGGCGGGCGCCTGTAGTCCCGGCTACTCGGGAGGCTGAGGCAGGAGAATGGCGTGAACCCAGGAGGCAGAAGTTGCAGTGAGCCGAGTTTGTGCCATTGCACTCCAGCCTGGGCGACAGAGCAAGACTCCATCTCAAAAAAAAAAAAAAAGGAATATACTTCTTCAGTTATAAATATATGTATTACATCCTTAATAGCAAAAAGACACACAACTCTGAAGTGTAAAAAAAATTCTAATCAGAAGTAAAATTGAATTTTTTTCTAAAATTGGAAATGATTCTGTAGTGTACCTCAAATTGTAAGACATTAATGTAACCTTGTTTTTTAACACGTTTCAAGATACATCTGATAAAAATGAGGTAGGACAGGAAGGAGTGTGTCTGTAAAGTGGAGGAGAGAGGTGGGACACAGCTGTAAGGCAGAAGTCTAAGATTGTGCAAGGAAATTGTCGTTGTTGCTGTTGAGTAGCAGATAAATATAATTTTTTTTTTTTTTTTTTTTTTTTGAGACAGAGTTTTGCTGTGTTCCCCAGGCTGAGTGCAGTGGCGTGATCTCGGCTCACTGCAGCCTCCACCTTCTGGGTCCAAGTAGTCTCTTGCCTCAGCCTCCTGAGTAGCTGGGATTATAGGCACACACCACCATGCCCAGATAATTTGTGTATTTTTAGCAGAGACGGGGTTTCACCATGTTGGCCAGGCTGGTGTCGAACTCCTAACCTCAGGTGATCCACCCGCCTCGGCCTCCCAAAGTGCTGGGATTAGATAGATATAACTTAAAGTAGAAAGTGATACATGTCATAGAGGTTTTTAAAAAAGTACCATGGACATGAACTTTTATACCATGGGGTACCATGGAGATTTCTCAAAGCTCTTCATATAATTCTATTACTTCAGGAGTGGAGAAAAGTAAGCCCAGGGTTGGCTTTACAAAGAATATTGGTAAGCCTTGGAAAAGAAGTGGGAGGCACTGTAAATATGTTTAGCTCAGATGTTTCATATGTTTTGATTTTTTAAAATTTTATTATAATGTTTAAATTACAAAATAAATAAACACTTATTGTACTCTGTGAAAGTAAACAACACAAAGTTGTAGAAAGGAAACATTAATCTGGTCTGTCCCCTCCACTAATCTCCATTCCCTGACCCTCACCAAGTTGAAAACCTTAAGTCTGGCTGCATATTCTTTTGTTCTCATAGAAAATCTATACACATATATTCATATATCTATATATATTTACATACCCACATATATTATATATGGAGTTTTCTTCTTTACAAAAATGTGATCCCATAATGCATATTACTTTACCGTTTGCCATTTTAAATGTATGACAGACCTTCCCATACATACAGCTCAAATTTATCTTTTTTTAATGCTGCATAATACAGTGTGGATGCATCAGAATTTTTCTTTTTTTTAAGACAGAGTCTTGCTCTGTCGCCTAGGCTGGAATTGCAGTGGTGCAATCTCGGCTCACTGCAACCTCCACCTCCTGGGTTCAAGCGATTCTCCTGCCTCAGCCTCCCGAGTAGCTGGGACTACAGGTGCATGCCACCATGCCTGGCTAATTTTTGTGTTTTTAGCAGAGACAAGGTTTCACTACGTTGGCCAGGCTGGTCTCGAACTCCTGACCTCATGATCTGCCTGCCTCGGCCTCCCTAAGAGCTGGGATTACAGGCATGAGCCATCACGACCAGCTGGATGTATCATAATTTATTCAACCCTTTCCCTAGTGATGTATATGAGATTGTTTCCACTTTCATTGCCTCTACGAATAATGCTGCAATAAATGTCTTTGCACATATTTCCTTAGGTATTAGTGCTTTATTACTTATTTTTATTTTTTTGACACAGAGTCTCCCCCGTCACCAGGCTGGAGTGCAGTGGCATGATCTTGGCTCACTGCAACCTCCGCCTCCTGGGTTCAAGTGATTCTCCCACCTCACCCTCCCGAGTAGCTGGGACTTCAGGTGCGCGCCACCACACCCAGCTAATTTTTTTGTATTTTTAGTAGAGACAGGGTTTCACCATGTTGGCCTGGATGGTCTTGAACTCCTGACCTTGTGATCTGCCCGCCTCAGCCTCCCAAAGTGCTGGGATTACAGGCGTGAGCCACCACGCCCAGCCAGTGCTTTTATTTTTAATTGATTGATTGACTGATTGATTGAGACAGGGTCTCACTCTGTTGCCCAGGCTAGAGTGTAGTGTTGTGATCATGGCTTACTGGCTGCCTCAACCTCCTGGGGTCAGGTGATCCTCCCATCTTAGCCTCCCAGGTAGCTGAGACTACAGGCGCATGCCACCATGCCCGGCTAATTTTTGTTTCACCATGTTGCCTACACTGGTCTTAAACTCCTGGGCTCAAGCAATCTGCCCACCTTGGCCTCCCAAAGTCTAGAGCTTTTATTTTGATAGCACTTCATGTTTTTGCCAACACCGTTTGAGAGTACCTGTTTCTCAGTATTCTCACTAGCAGTGGATGTGGAGGCTGGTTGCCTCTGAAGCTGAAGCTTACATTTCAGGGCGTTTTTTGCTTGAACTTGTGAGTCCCATTTCCCCTGGCCCTGGGAGAAGCCTTAGCAATGTGCTCACAGGGTTGAAACTTGACAAAGTAAGTTATTTTAATGGCAGCCAGATAAGGACAACTGTACCTCTCCAGTCCAAATTCCCCTTCCCTTACTCTTGCCCTTGGGTTTTATGGCCTTGCAGTGGCTGCCGGTTGAAAGTCGAGCTCGGATACATTTATTTGAGTTTAGCAGGATGTATTTACAAGGTTTGCTGTCACTTCTGTGCATAGATAAGTTACTGCTAGACATCCTGGTGTAGGTATGCTTCTATGAAGATGCAGGGCCAGAGGTCACATCATGAAATGAACGTGCCTTGAGGCACTGGCACCAGATGAATGAGAGTACCAGAGAAGAAACAAAGTTTGAAACATAGAGCCAGGAGCTAGTCTGTAAAAAATTCTTCCCGTTGTCAAAGTTATATAGTTGTAAATGAATGAATCACTACTCACCGATGACTAACAAAACTGTAAGTTCTCTTCTATCAGGAATATCCTTGATAATGCAACATACACTCACCATATAGATTTTTTTCTTTCTTTTTGGTGGAACATACCTGAAACAGAATAAGAATTCCTGGGTTTGTAGGCCAAAAACCTGTAACAGTACACAAATAGCAAGAATGTCTGGTGGTAAGCCTGCTGAGGTATCGGAGGGCATTTTAGCACATTACCGACAACAGATCTGAAGTTGAAATAAAATTTTGTAAACTATTAATAATAAAAAAGCAAAGCAAATTTCAATCAGCCATGCTAGAAGACTTCATTATCTTTCTATTCTCTTTAGAAAATAATACCATAAAATAGTTGTCCTATGAAGAATTTAGTAAAGAATATGCATTTAAAGACTATGGAAAATAGTATGATAGAGGTGTGCCAGGCAGCTAATCATTTTAATACTTTTGTGATGTTTGTCATATTTATCAGTTTTGTAAAACTTATAATTGTGGCTATTTATTTTCTAAATGAACATTCAGCTTTGTATCAGGGTTTTTTGTTTGTTTCTTTGTTTTTTGAGACAGGGTCTCTCTCTGGTCTCCCAAGCTGGAGTGCAGTGGCATGATCATAGCTCACTGTAGCCTTGAACTCCTGGGCTCAAGTGATCCTACCACTGCAGCCTCCTGAGTAGATGGAACTACAGGTGCACATCACCATGCCCAGCTAATTTTAAAAATTTTTCATAAAGACAAGGTCTCTTTATATTGCCCAGGCTGGTCTCCAACTCTTGGGCTCAAGCAATCCTCCTGCCTTGGCCTATGAAAGTGCTGGGATTACAGGCGTGAGCCACAGTGCCTGGTCTTGTACCAATTTTTATATTTGAAATTTTGAATTCTTTTTCTTGAGGAAGGCCCCCCAAATTGTTTAAATTTCATAAAGCATGAATCCCTATTATTTATTGGTCTTTTAACATTTGCTGGTAGGACAAGCAAAAATTGTATGCTTTTGTTTTCATCAACATTTTATTGATCTATAGTGAGACTGAATACATATTTTGACCATTTATATTTCTTCCTTCTTGAATTGACTATCCATAGCCATTTGTCCATTTTTTGATTTTTGATCTCTAGTGAGACTGAATACATATTTTGACCGTTTATATTTCTTCCTTCTTGAATTGACTATCCATACCCATTTGTCCATTTTTTGATTTTTTAAAAAATTAATTTTAGGGGCTCTGTATTGTATTAAAGATATTAATACCTTGTGAGCCTGGGCGTGGAGGCTCATGCCAGTAATCCCAGCACTTTGGGAGGCTGAGGTGGGCAGATCACTTGAGGTCAGGAGTTCAAACCAGCCTGGCCAACATGGTGAAACCCTGTTTCTACTAAAAAAACAAAAATTAGCTGGGTGTGGTGGCACGTGCCTATAATTCCAGTTACTCAGGAGGCTGAGGCAGGAGAATCATTTGAATCCAGGAAGTGGAGGTTGCAGTGAGCTGAGCCTGTATCACTGCACTGCAGACTGGGCGACAGAGCAAGACTCCATCTCAAAAAAAAAAAAAAAAAAAAGATATTAATACCTTGTGGGTCATTTGTGTTCCAAATAACTTTCTCCAGATTATCATTCATCTTTTTTTTGTAACAGCTTTATTGATGTCTAATTCATATGCCATATGGGGGAGGGGAGTAACTTTACAGTGGAGAAACCTGGCAAACACTACCTTGACCAGGCAATTAAGTTTAACATCCTCAGTGATAAGCCATGTTGACAGTACATGCCCTTGACATGATGATCTAGTTTGGATGTTTGTCCCCTCCAATCTCATATTGAAATATGATCCCCAGTGTTGGAGGTGGGGCCTAGTTAGAGGTGTTTGGGTCATGGGGGTGGGGGTGGATCCTTTGTGAATGGCTTGGTACTTCCCCATGGTAATGAGTGAGTTCTCACTCTGTTAGTTCGTGAGAGAGCTGGTTGTTGTTGTTTTTGAGACAGGGTCTCACTCTGTCACCCATACAGGAGTGCGGTGGCGTGATCTCAGCTCACTGCAGCCTCCACTTCCTGGGTTCAAATGATTCTCATGCCTCTGCCTCCTGAGTAGCTGGGATTACAGGCATGCACCACCATGCCCAACTAATTTTTGTATTTTCAGTAGAGATGAGGTTTCACCATGTTGTCCAGGCTGGTCTTGAACTCCTGGCCTCAGGTGATCCGCCCACCTCAGCCTCCCAAAGTGTTGGGATTACAGGCATGAGCCACCACACCTGGCAAGAGAGCTGGTTGTTTAAATGAGCCTGGGACCTCCTCCTCTCTCTTGCTTCCTCTCTTGCCATATGATATGCTGGCTTCTCCTTTGCCTTCCGTCATGATTTTATAAGCTTCCTGAGACCTCACTAGAAGCAGATGTTGGCACTATGCTTCTTGTATGGCCTGCAAACTGTGAGCCAAATAAACCTCTTTTCTTTCTTTCTTTCTTTTTTTTTTTTTTGAGAGGGAGTCTCACTCTGTCACCCAGGCTGGAGTGCAGTTGTTCGATCTCGGCTCGCTGTGACCTCCGCCTCCCGGGTTCACGCCATTCTCCTGCCTCAGCTTCCTGAGTAGCTGGGACTACAGGCACCTACCTGCCACCATGCCTGGCTAATTGTTTGTATTTTTAGTAGACACGGAGTTTCACCATGTTAGCCAGGATGGTCTCGGTCTCCTGACCTCGTGATTCGCCTGCCTTGGGCTCCCAAAGTGCTGGGATTACAGGCATGTGCCACCACCCCCAGCCATAAATCTCTTTTCTTTATAAATTATCCAGTCTCAGTATTCCTTTACAGCAATGCAACACAGATTAACATATATGATGTGATTAGAATGGCACTTTACTGGCCAGGTGTGGTGGCTCATGCCTGGAATCCCAGCACTTTGGGAGGCTGAGGCAGGTCAATCATCTGAGGTCAGGAGTTCGAGACCAGCCTGGCCAACATAGTGAAACTCTGTCTTTACTAAAAATACAAATAATTAGCTGGACATGGTGGTGCATGCCTGTAATCCCAGCTGCTCTGGAGGCTAAGGCAGGAGAATCACTTGAACCCGGGAGGTGGAGGTTGCAGTGAGCCAAGATTGCACCATTGGACTCCAGCTTGGGCAACAAGAGCAAAACTCCATCTCAAAATAAATAAATTAATTAATTAATTAATTAAAGAAAAAGAAAAAGGCACCTTACCTCGGTAGTCTTCCTCCCAAAAACCCCTGAACTCTACTTTATCCATGAGGACAATATCAGACAAAACCAAACTGAGGGACAATCTACAAATTACCTGATGAATACTTTTCAAGACCGTCATAAGCAAGGAAAGTCCGAGAAACTGTCACAGACCAGAGGAGGCTAATGAGACATGACTGCAAAACGTAATGTGGTATCTTGGGTGGGATTTCAGGATAAAAAAAGAACTTTGGGGAAAATCTAGTTAAGTAAGAATAAAGTATACAGTTTAGTTAATAGCAATGTGCCAATGTTGACTCTTCAGTTGTGACAAATGTACGAGAATGATATAGGATGTTAACAACGGAGACACGGGGTGAGGAGTATGCAAAAACTCTGTACTATCTTTGCAAGGTTTCTGGAAATCCAAAGTATTCTAAAATTAAAAGAGGAGAGGACAATTATTGCTAGCCACATCCTTCCTCAGGGAGTATATCTATGCCAAGAAAGCATCCTGCCTCCAGAAACAAAGAATTGGTACCTCTACAACCTAGTGCTTAATTTGAACCAATTATGTAGGTGGTCAGGAAGGAGTTGTGAGAAATCATTTCCCCTGTCCAAATCTTCCTGCTAGTTCAGAGAAGCCTTCCAAAGGAAGCCTTCCATTCTGGCTGTCCTGGCCACGCCATGCGTCCCACCCAGCAAGCACCATGGTTCATAATGACAACAGTGCCCACCCAGATGCTGCCCAGGATTACCAGAAGGCTTATTCTCTGGACCTGTTGCTTCTGGGTCTTGAACCCTGGCTCTGTTCTTGACCTTTGTCATTTGCTTTTGCCACCACCACCATTTCCCTTGCTTTAGTGACTAATTCAGACCCCTGACTGTGGTTCTCTGGTCTCGGGTCCTCTCTTTACTCAGCTCTGCACAATCAATCCCTTGATTTCTGTACCACCTAGAGCTGTAGGTGGGAGATATTCCTTCCATCCTTCTTTACTTTTTCAACTAGCCAAGCCCAACTGGGTCTCGGCTGGAAGGAGGAGTGGACATTGTGTAGCTTTTTTTTTTTTTTGAGACAGAGTCTCGCTCTGTTGCCCATGCTGGAGTGCAGCGGCACGATCTTGGCCCATGCAACCTCTACCTCCTGGATTCAAGCGATTCTCGTGCCTCAGCCTCCCGAGTAGTTGGGATTACAGATGTGCACCACCATGCCTGGATAATGTTTGTATTTTGTTTTAGGAGAGATGGGGTTTTGCCATGTTGGCTAAGCTGGCCTGGAACTCGTGGCCTCATGTGATCCACCTGCCTCAGCATCCCAAAGTGCTGGGATTACAGGTGTGAGCCACTGTGCCCGGCCCGTCTCCGAATTTCATGAGTGGTGGTGGTGGTACTTTTCTGCCTGCCAGATCACAGGAAGCTCTGAGTGGGAGCAGAGGGGGAAAACCAAGCCTCCTACCCTGCCAATCAGGAAATCCTGAAATCCTAGCATAATTCATTGCCTTATATAGCTGGGGGGAATGGGGAAGCCCTTTCTTTAGCAAGTCACCTCATCTGGATCTATAATCTGGGCACGAAGTATAATTTTATTGCTGTGCCCCCAGCACTGTCTTGCTACACTGCTAGGTTATGCATAAAGACAAGACCTCCTGCATACACGCTCTCACTACCTCTGTGTAGTGAGGACTTGTCTGCAGGCCTGGGTTACAAAGCACAGGAAGGGCTGGGCAGAGCTGGTATGGCTGGAGCTACCACAGTGGCAGAAGCTGGGGCAAGGATCTGGAAGTCAGTGGAATTCCAAGGTTTTCGGAAGGATTCGCAGGTCTACCTTAGGAAGCCAGGAAATCTGTTTTCTGTTTTAGAGCTTGCCCTCCATCTCTATAAAGCAGTGTTTCTCAATTTATTATTTGTTATCACTGCCCCTAAAGGGGAAGAGTTAATTAGATTTAAATGCTCCCTTAAAGAAAAATTAAATACTAAGGAATAAGGCTGAGCTTTATGGGGGCCACAGACCACTATAATATTTAAGTTTTTTTTTTTTTTTTTTTTTGCTTCCCGGCCCCAAGAACCAATTTACATCCTTTTGCAGGTGACATTGGCTCTTTTGAGAATGCATGTTACAGAAGGATGGTACTCTTGCTGTGAACATTGCCACCTACCAGGTGAACTTTCTTCTTAGACTTTCTCCTGCTTGCTTGTATTCTTCGTCTTCTGAATCCATAAGGATGAGTTCACCTGCAAGTCAAAGGGATTCAAATTAAACTGCCTGACACCATAGGGATGTTTATGTTCTACAAAAGAAGTCTGGATTTAGATGCAGTGGCTCGGTGATGCCACCAAAGACACAGGCTCTTTCTATTTATCCACTCAGCTATCTATCCTCAGGGTATCCGGAATGTGTCCACTCATGGCCACAGAATGGCTGCAGCAGCTCCAGGCATTGGTCCACACATGATTGCATTTGAAAGGAAGGGAGAAGAGACAAGCAATGAAGCAATGAAGAAGGAGCAAATGACTCTCTGATAGTGGCTGACACTTCATCAGTCAGCAACTGATAGTGGCTGACACTTCTCTCTCTTTTTGCTTATTTCCTCCTTTCTTTGTCATTAAACTAGCATCCCCCAAATCCACCTGTACATCAATATGCATCAAAGTGGAAAGGATCATTGCCAGGAGCACTCTTGGTTGACCTCATGCAAATTACTACCTCTGGGCCTCAGCTTCCTCACTTTTGAAGTAAGGGTCAAAGACTAGGTGCCCTTTTTAATGTAAACTTCTTATTGAAGTAGAACATAAGGGCTCACAAATCAAAAATATACTGCTTGAAGAATTTTTTTTTTTTTTTTTTTTTTTGAGACAGGGTCTCACTCTGTCACCCAGACTGGAGTGCAGTAGCATGATCTCTGCTCACTGCAACCTCTGCCTCCCAGGCTCAAGTGATCCTCCCACCTCAGCCTCCTGGGTAGCTGGGACTACAGGCACATACCACGATGCCCAGCTAAGTTTTTGTAGAAACAAGGTTTCACTATGTTGCCCAGGCTGGTCTTGAATTCCTGGGCTCATGCAATCTGCCCACCTTGGCCTCCAAAGTATTGAGATTACAGGCATAAGCCACTGCACCCGGCCTGCTTGATGAATTTTTATAAAATAAAACAAACAAAAAAAAACCAAACAAGCCCCCAGATTAAAAACCAAATACCCCAGAACTCACTACTTTTCTGATTTCTCACACTACAGTTTTGCCTGTTTTTTAGCTTTATATAAATGGAGTCATAGAACAGATATTCTTTTATATTTAGCTTGTTTCACGCACTATTATGTTTGTGAGATGCATTTACCATGTTGTTCCTTTATTCTGTTGCGCAGTCTTCCATTATGTGAATGTACCACATTTATTCACGCATTCCTCTGTTGACAGCTATGTGACCTGTTTCTAGTTTTCGCTCTTACAAACAGCACTGCTGAGGAGATTCTTGGATCCATCTTTTTGTGAATGTATGCATGCATTTCTATTGTGTTCTGAAAGTAGAACTGCTGGGCCTATCGTGTGATGTCCACGTTCCAGATGCCTTTTTTTTTTTTTTTTTAAGATAGAGTTTCACCCTTGTTTCCCAGGCTGGAGTGCAGTGGTGCAATCTGGGCTCACTGCAACCTCCACCTCTCGGGTTCAAGCGATTCTCGTGCCTCAGCCTCCCAAACAGCTGGGATTACAGGCACCTGCCACCACACCTGGCTAATTTTTGTATTTTTAATAGAGATGTGGTTTTGCCATGTTGGCCAGGCTGATCTTGAACTCCCGACTCCAAATGATCCACCTGCCTCAGCCTCCCAAAGTGCTGAGATTACAGGCGTGAGCCACTGCCCCCGCCTCCAGATGCCTTTTAAGGATCACTCCTAGTGATGGAATCAAACACTCTCATGGAGGCACACAGCCAGTAAGTAGGTTTTCCATTCTATCCAAAGAATCACTGCTAATAACTCAGTGCCCGTGGTCCCAGTACTTGTCAGGTCCATATCTTCTGTAGCCCAACCTCTCTAACGGGTAGCCCTCACAAAGGAATACACATCCATGCCCACACTCCATACACTTGTGCTGGCTTGTAAAGAAAGCCAGGTAGCACGTATCCTTCAGTGAAAGGTGTTTCTATAGCCAGATGTGGCCCAGCTACTAGGAGCCTTCAGAGTAGGCCAATGTTTTGGGGGCTCTGGAAAGCATCCACTCCTCTGTGATCAACTTCGTGACCAGACTTATGAAATGAAACTATCAGCCGGGTGTGGTGGCTCACGCCTGTAATCCCAGCACTTTGGGAGGTCGAGGTGGGTGGATCACTAGGTGAGGAGATCGAGACCATCCTGGCTAACATGGTGAAACGCCGTCTCTACTAAAAATACAAAAACAAAATTAGCCAGGTGTGGTGGTGAGTACCTGTAGTCCCAGCTACTTGGGAGGCTGAGGCGGGAGAATGGTGTGAACCCAAGAGGTGGAGCTTGCAGTGAGCCGAGATCACGCCACTGTACTCCAGCCTGGGTGACAGAGCGAGACGCCGTCTAAAAACAACGATAACAACAAAAATATCAACAGATAGGTTAGTTCATCTGATCTCTTTCCTTAAATCTTTTTTTTAATTTAAAATTTTTTGTGGGCACACAGTAGGTGTATATCTTTATGGGGTACATGAAATACTTTGATACAGGTATACAATGCATAACAACACATCAGGGTAAATGGGATATCCATCACCTCAATCTTCCCTTATATTTTAAGTGCCTGGTAGAATGCTCACTAAAAATAATCATAAAAGTTTAGGAGCAAAAGGACCTTGTAATATAATTTTCTAATAGAAAACTGCTTTCTAAGCAAGTTTTCAAACAGGAAATGTATTTAAAGTAAGCACTTAAAGGTTTGGAATGTCAATTTATGGTTCAGAAACATGGAAGGATCTTGGCTGGGAGTGGTGGCTCACGCCTGTAATCCCAGCACTTTGGGAGGCTGGAGTGGGCAGATCACTTGAGGTCAGGAGTTCGAGACCAGCCTGGCCAACATGGTGAAACCCCATCTTTACTAAAAATACAAAAATTAGCTGGGCGTGGTGGTGTGCGCCTGTAATCCCAGCTACATGGAGGCTGAGGCAGGAGAATCACTTGAATCCGGGAGGCAGCGGTGACAGTGAGCTGAGATCACACCACTGCACTCCAGCCTGGGCAACAGGGCAAGACTTTGTCTCAAAATAAAAAGAAAAAGAAAAAGAAAAGAAAAATGGAAGGATCTGGATGGATTCATGCTAGGTTAAGAGAGAGAGAGAGAAGCTGGCGCAGTGGTTCACACCTGTAATCCCGGCACTTTGGGAGGCCAAAATAGGTGGATCACCTGAGGTCAGGAGTTTGAGACCAGCCTGGCCAACATGGCAAAACCCCATCTCTACTAAAAATACAAAAATTAGCTGGGCGTGGTGGTGTGCACCTGTAATCCCAGCTACTTGGGAGGCTGAGGCAGGTGAATTGCTTGAACCCGGGAGGTGGAGGTTGCAGTGAGCCGAGATTGCACCACTGCAGTCCAACCTGGGTGACAGAGTGAGACTGTCTCACAAAAAAAAAAAAAAAAGAAAAGAAAAATGGAAGGATTTTTGATGGATTGATGCTAGGTTAAAAGAGAGAGAGAGAGCGAGCGAGATAAATGGAAGGAGCTAAGAGAACAATGTTTCTCAAGATATAGTCTGCAGATCAGCATCACTGTAAGCATCACCTAAGAGATTGTTAACATTTTTTTAAAATTAAAAATTAATTTAAATTAAAAATTATTCCAGGCCTCACTCCAGAAGCAGAACCTCTTGATGTGGGGCCTGGAAGTTTGCATTTTAACAAGCTCACAAGTGATTGTTAGGCACCTGAAGTTTGAGATTCGCAACAGTGACTCCATGATTGTATTGTATAACTCACTGCATTGGGGTTTTCGTGCTTTGCAAGCCAGGAGCTTTTCTATATGGAGAGATAAAATGGTGCTCTCATTCACCCACAAGCCCCTCTGCTGGTTCAGTAGCAAGTTCCAATTTCTTGTTTGCAAAACTGTTCAGATCCTGGACTCAAGTGGACCTTGTTTCTTTCCTGGGACATCATTGGCTGAATTAAATTGTCCACACAATTTTGTCTCTGTTGGGGATTGTGCCTTCTCACTTGCCCCCCTTGTTTGAGACAGCCCTCTGTGGCTTGCGACATGTCATCCTGAATGCTCTCTGAAAATGTCCTTTGTCCTCACCAGCCGTCCACTTCAGAAGTGGTGGTGTTATTCTGAGGCAGGGCTTGGGATGCCATATAGAATAAAGCTATGATTGTACTAAAAACCACCAGAGGATAAGCGGCTAATACAAACACGAAGAAGGCCTAAGCACACGCTGTACCAGGGGAGAGAATGAGCGAGTGATGCATTGAGACTGCTTTGTTTCTGAGGTCTGGGTGCTCACATGCAGCCCTGTTAGGCTTGCTAGTGAGGTTGATAGGATTTGTTTGGTAAGCATACTGAATTCTGGGGCCCAAAGCCCTGTCTCCTGAAAGGTGCCAGCCTAAGTGTCTAAGATTCCTTATGGATTGGGAGGGCTCCATGCTGTGTTCTTGGGTTCTGGTGGCACTGGGGACCTCCCTCGCCCCTCATGCACACACATACATCTACTGTCTTCTTCAGCTCAACCCTAGAAATCCGTAAATTCCAACAAACACCAGAGCCTTCTGCTCTGACGGAGAAATGTTACACGTTTCCTCCTTTCCTCCTTAGCACCATGCTGCTTTTAAAACTTTTAGTAGCCTGTAATCCCAGCACTTTGGGAGGCCGAGGTGGGCAGATCACTTGAGGTCAGGAGTTCGAGACTAGCCTGGCCAACATGGTGAAACCCTGTCTCTACTAAAAATACAAAAATTAGCCGGGCGTGGTGGCACACGCCTGTAATCCCAGCTACTGTGGAGGCTGAGAGGCAGGAGAATTGCTTGAACCGGGGAGGCAGAGGTTGCAGTGAGCTGAGATCGCTCCACTGCACTCCAGCCTGGGCGACACAGCAAGACCTTGTCTCCAAAAAAACAAAACAAACCAAAAAGAAACAAAAAACAAACCTTTTAGTAGAAGCAAAATCACATGCTCTGGGACACTTATGTTATTTCAGTGACAATTTCCCACCACAGGGAACACTGAAATACCACAGGAAATGGTGAATATGAATGGGCAGGGCTGGGCTAAATTTCATGGTGGAAACTTTCTACCAAAATACTTTCCATACAAATTCACTTTCTTTAGTTTTGATGACTACCCACTGGATAATTGTGGCCAGCTGCCATCGACTAACCACAAAACTGGAAAATACATAAATAAACTGTAATAAACTATTTCATATGGCCTTTTAGGAACTCTGGATCTGGGCCCTTTTTTTGTTGGGAGCCTAGATAAGTGGTACTCCAATCTAAACTGAGCAAATGGAGGACTTTGGAGGTCAACATACACACACACACACAATGTACACACACATATATACACACAAATATATATATGTATATGTGCGTATGTATATTTTTATTTTAAGACAGGGTCTCCTTCTGTTGCCCGGGCTGAAGTACAGTGGTACAATCTCACTCATTGCACCCTCAACCTCCCAGGCTCAAGCAATCCTTCCACCTCAGCCTCTTGGGTAGCTGGGACTACAGTTACGTGCCACCATGCTGGACTAATTTTTACATTTTTTATAGAGATGGGGGTGTCACTATATTGCCCAAGCTGGTCTTGAACTTATAGGCTCAAGTGATCCTCCCACCTTGGCCTCCCAAAGTGCTGGGATTACAGGTGTGAGGCACCCTACCTGATATATATATATTTAACCAGACCCTACTCAGAATAGTAAAGCATATTTACTTACAAAAACTCTTTATTATTTCATAAGAATAGTAGAAAAAGTCTGACAGGAAGGGAAGGTAGGTAGTTAACGTTTAGGGAGCATCTATTCCATGCCAGCACTTTGCTAGGACTATGACATAAAGAATGCTATTTAACTCTCACAACCATCTCATAAGGTATTATTACCTGCTCTCCATTCTCCTCCTTTTCAGGTTTAGGAACAGGTTCACTGAAGTTAGTAACTTGCTTATGGTCACCCACTTGTAGTGACAAAGCAGAATTCAAATGTGGTTCTTTTTTCACTTTCCCCTGGTGCCCTAAAGGGAAAGCTTGTATAGAGTCTTTTTTTTTTTTTTTTTTTTTGAGACAGAGTCTTGCTCTGTCGCCCAGGCTGGAGTGCAGTGGCCGGATCTCAGCTCACTGCAAGCTCCGCCTCCTGGGTTTACGCCATTCTCCTGCCTCAGCCTCCCGAGTAGCTGGGACTACAGGCACTCGCCATCTCGCCCGGCTAGTTTTTTGTATTTTTTAGTAGAGACGGGGTTTCACTGTGTTAGCCAGGATGGTCTCGATCTCCTGACCTCGTGATCCGCCCGTCTCGGCCTCCCAAAGTGCTGGGATTACAGGCTTGAGCCACCGCGCCCGGCTGTATAGAGTCTTAATCCACACGGATCTCCATCATATTTAAGGCAGCCTGGTTGTTAAAATAAGTAGCACCATTCAATAAGAAAAACCTATGTTATACATCTATAGAATACTCATTTCTAGTTATATTGTGCTATTTGTTTTAATGCTAATTCAGAAGAACAGATAATAGGGTCTGTAGTAGTTGTAAGCAGTCCTTGAATGTGAAAGTGTTAACAATTTTAATCCAACTCCAAGAGGACCAGAACTTGGCATTCCTTAGATGCACCATTTAAAATTGTTCCCAGTGCCCTTTGAATGCTATTTTTTTCCCAGCCAAGGCAGGCTTACGTGGAGGAGATAAAGATGACAGCTTGAGGACTAAGGGTCCAGCCCTATATAAATTACACTGGGGGAAACAAGGGAAGGTCTTTGAAGCTCAGAGTCTCTGACTGATATTTTGGGTAGGTTTCAACCCTCTGCATTCTCTTCTACTTGTTTCTAGAGAAAACTGTGGTAGAGGCCTTAGTGAATCCCAGAGTCAAAATCTGTCATCACCTTTTAGCAGGTAAAGCTAGGCAAACCTTTGAGTTTGGAATGGGTAGGGAAAATGTGGTCCCTCACGATAAGCCTCCCTACCCATTACTTTGCTAGAGCGACTGAAAACCCTTTAAAGACTTGGCCTTGGAAACAGAAGATCTAGGGACAGGTAAGGTGGAAAAAGGTGGTTAACCTACACCCCAATGGGCTGGAAGTAACACCTTGACTATTTGCACCATGCCAGCAAATAAAGCTGAGAATCAGCTCAGCCCAAGGCCTGGAAAGGAAACACAAATGCATGAAAAATAACTTGAACCTCATGGTTCTTTCAAAAGTCTCTTCGGCGAAAGTGTGAGTTGAAGAGTCGTATATCATTTGCAGCTCTCTCCTCAAGCTCGCTCTTCTGAGGTTTGACTTTACACAAACCTTGGTCAGCTGCAGAAGCAAGACACAATGGGGACCTCAGAGTGAGGCTGAAGACTCCCCACACCCCCTCCTTGAAGCCCCTTCCAGGTTCCCCACCCGATGTCCTCTAGCTCCTTTGAGCCTCGTCGCCCTTTATGCTATTCTTCCGATATGGGTCGTAATTCCGTCTATTTCGGGTTCTTCCTGCGCGTGCCTTAGAGGCCATAAGACCCTGACTCACGTGCGTGTCCTCAAAGCCCCCAGCCCCAAGCGTGGCTGCTGGTGGGCGCATCAGTAAAAGCGAGTGGAACGGAGCAGGCTCCTCCAACCTCTTTTCCACCTCTGATTTCCGTTAGACATTTGCTCCGCACGGCGGCCTCCGCGAGGCAACGTTGGACACTGGGAGGACAGACGCAGAAGCCCAGGGCGCACTTCCTGCCGGGCGGGGGCGGGGCTGCACCTCCTCCCTCCCTCCCTCCCTCCCTCCCTCCTTCCCTCCCTCCTTCCCCACGTGCCCACTCCCCGCTCCCCCCGCCCTCCCCGCCCCCTCCCGGGCAGCCGCGGCGTCTCGGGGGCGGGGCCGGAGCGGGTGGGCGGTGTGGCTGTGCGGGCTGGGCGCCGCGGCTGTGCTGCCAGCGGACCCGCGGCGGGCTCGGGCGCGGAGCGGGGGCGCGCGGCGCGGAGCTGAGCGTCTCAGGGAGGGCAGAGACTAGCCGGCGGGTGGCAGCGGCTCCCGGCCCGGCCGGTGGAAGGCCTCGGGCTGAGCGGCGGCCGAGCGGGGCTCGGCCCGGGGCGCTCGGGGAGCTCGCAGCGGCGGGCAGCAGGAGGAAGCGGCGGCGGCGCGTCCCGAGCGGTGCGCGCCATGGCGGGCGGGCCCCCCAAGGCCCTGCCGTCCACGGGGCCCCACTCCCTGCGCGACATGCCGCACCCGCTGGCCGGCTCCAGCAGCGAGGAGGCCGTGGGTGGTGACAGCACGCCCAGCCCGGACCTGCTGATGGCCCGCAGCTTCGGTGACAAGGTGGGGCGCCTGGGGCTGGGGTCTGGGAGGCTTATTTCGCTCCCCGTTGGGGGGGATGATGGATCCGGAGCCTTTCTGGGCCTGGGGCCGCGCCCACCCTGCCGCCCCTTCCCGGGGGACGGGCGTGCCCTGGCCCCGGAGCTCTCGGCGAAAGCGTCTCCTCTGCCGCCTCCGCGGGGTCGCAGCCGCAGAGGGACGGGCTTCGCTGCCTGTGACTGGTCGCGAGCGCCGGTGACAGCTGGTGGGGAGGGGTCCAGCCTGCGTGTTGGGGCGGGAGGCGTGTGTGCAGGGCAGGGCGCCTGTGTCCTCGGATGGGGTTCCGAGTTCCTCCAGGTGCATCCCTGCAGGCTGAGCTGCTGCATAACTTGTAGCTCCTCCAGTTTCCCGAGACTGCACAGAAGCAGGAGTTCATGGCTTTCCGTGCTGGGACCGGGCAGCCCTGGGCTTACAGCGAGAGTCTTCTTCCCCCGAGTCAGTCATGTGGGGAGTGATCTTTGTTTAGGTTTGCTGTTTGTCCTGAGGAGTCACCTGACTCAGACCCCAGCCGGCGGCGGGAGGAGAGCCTCATTGTGGTTTTCTGTCTGGGGCTCCATTCACCTCCGACGGCCTACCACTCTGTTTAGGTTTGGCAGCGGCTGGTTTTGTGGTTGATGGAAAGAAAGCTCGCCCTTTGACCTTCTTTGTACAGAGGGAGGCTCCAGATTTTCTTAGAGCAGCACAACCCTCCTGCTGCTTGGAGACACAGCAGAGTCCAGGCAGGGGTAAGGGACGGCCTCCTCCCTATCCCCATGGCCATTTCAGCTGTGAAGGGGACTTGAGCAGTGATTGTATCCTCGCTCCTGCCGTCACTTAGTCGCTAACTGCAGAAATTAGCATTGTTCTCAGGTCTTGTGATCAAGATTTTCTCTCCCTAGTAAAATACTAAATGGATTCCCCCTTGTCCCAATATTAATGGGAGCAGGGGACCTAACTTTCTTCTCCCGTCAGAGGGGACACCATGTGGTACAGTAAAAAATGAGTATGAGAAAATATAACCTGCCCGCCTTGCAGCACTTAAAATCACTAGAGAGTGGGACTTGACTTGATGTACCTTCTGCACAGGGTTTGTGAAAGCTGGGAGTGAAGTTCCAAAGCATTAGGGACAGGAAAATTTTAAAAAGCTAGTGGAGGCCGGGTGCAGTGGCTCACAACTGTAATACCAGCACTTTGGGAGGCTGAGGCAGGATGATTGCTCTGGGCCAAAAGTTTGAGACCTGCCTGGGCAACATATTGAGACCCCATCTCCACACACACACACACACACACACAGTATGGTGGCATGCACTTGTAGTCCAGGCTACTCAGGGAGGCTGAGGCTGGAGGATTGCTTGAGCCCAGGAGTTCAGGGCTGCAGTGAGCTATGATTGCACCACTGTACTCCAGCCTGGGCAAGAGAGTGAGACCCTGTCTCCAAAAAATGTTGAATGACTGAATAAATTTGCTTTCTTATGGACAAAAATTGGTCTTAAAATAGTGTAGGAACTGGGGTTAAACCTCATTTCCTTCTCAGTTCTGTGTAGGATACTGAATTAATTATCTATTGCTGTGTAGCAAATTACCCCAAAACTTACCACCTGGAAATAGTGTCTGTGGGACAATCTGAGTGGTTCTGAATTAGGCCTTTCTTGAGGTTGCAGTCATCTGAAGGCTGGATTAGGGGAGGATCCACTTCTAAGCTCACTCACATGGCTGTTGGCGGGCCTTAGTTACTCTCCATAGGGCTGTTGGATGTGGCAACTGGTTTTCTCCCCAGAGCAAGTGATCCAGGAGAGCCCAAGACTCTAGCCAGTCTTGTATAACTTACCTTGGAAATGACATGCCTCTGATGTATTCTGTCGGTCACACAGATTGACACTGGTACAATGTGGGGAGACGGTGTGAATACCAGGGTGTGCATACCAAGAGGTGGGGATCATTGGGCCATCTTGGAGACTGACTACTACAGATAGCTATTTTAAATATTTGCTTAACGAATCACTCATGGATGATACCTGACTCAGAAGTATGGGTGTTTTACTAGTAAGTACTTGGAAGACAAATTCTCCGTACCACCAAGATCTAGTTAGTGGTCAAGAAGTCAGTCTCAGGTCTAATTACTGATGGCTTCCTTTAAAGGGTCTGTTCTGTGTGGGAGATTGAGTCTTGGAGGCATTCTTAATTATTGAATATATATGTATTTTTTGAGACAGAGACTCACTCTGTCACCCAGGCTGGAGTGCAGTGGCCTGATCCTGACTCACTGCAATCTCCACCTCCCTGGTCGAAGTGATTCTCGTGCCTCAGCTCTCGTGTAGCTGGGATTACAGGCGTGTGCCACCTTGACCGGGTAATTTTTGTATTTTTAGTAGAGACGAGGTTTCGCTATGTTGGCCAGACTAGTCTCGAACTCCTGGCCTCAAGTGATCTGCCCGCCTCGGCCTCCCAAAGTGCTGGGATTACAGGCGTGAGCCACGGTGCCTGGCCTAATTATTGAATATTTATTAAATCTCCTAACAGCTGTGGGGAGCATCTAAATGACACCATTCTCAAGGGCCTGATTTATAGTAAGCCACTTTTCCTTAGAGGCTAAGCATTGTAATTTCTTTCTCTGACTAGGAGTAACATTTTCCTTGAATCTTGGCATCCCCGTATGGTCTCATAACTCTGAAGAAATTTCTGTAGAGAGAAGCTAGCAAGCCACAGAGGTGAGTCAGAGCCAGAAGAAGGAAGCCTTCCCTGTGGCTAGCTTTCTCCTGCCTCAGCAGCATGAGGGTCATCAAAGGGGTGGTAGGACAATTCAGTGCTATGGTCTGTCTTTGAAAATAAGCCAGTTTTGTCTTATTAGATACTAGGGTTGTGATCCTGGATGACAGGAATTCTGGGTCAGTTCTGGGCTAGAGGAATGAAGATTTGACAGGCTGATCATAGTACAGGGTTATTATGCAGAAGGGAATTGCTTTCTGAGGGGCCAAGGTGGTGCTATGAACAGGGTAGCCTTGTGTCTTGGTCCAGCTGACACTTGTGAATGAACTCCGTAGTGCTTGGGTAGAAGAGAAAGACCAAATATGATGGACTGTCCACCAGTTTCTCAAATTTTTCAAATCATGGTGTGATGCCTCCCTTCATAGGCTCCCAAAGGAGGAATCCTTTCTATCTACCAGAGGTTGCCAGGACTAATTCTTTTGATGCCTGCTAAACTCACCTTTTTTTTTTTTTTTTTTTTTTTCTTTTTTTCGAGACAGAGTCTTGCTGTTGCCCAGGCTAGAGTGTAGTGGTGGAATCTCACTACATCTTCTGCCTCCTGGGTTCGTGTGATTCTCCTGCCTCAGCCTCCTGAGTAGCTGGGATTACAGGTGACCGCCACCACACCTGGCTAATTTTTGTATTTTTAGTAGAGATGGGGTGTCACCATGTTAGCCTGGCTGGTCTCAAACTTCTGACCTCAGGTGATCTGTCCACCTCAGCCTCCCAAAGTACTGGGATTACAGGCGTGAGCCTCACTGGACCTTATATGGCTGTCTCCATCTAAAATGTAAATACATCGCTTAGCCTTACTCTGCTTTTTTAACTTTCATCTGCAAATTGTTCCAGGCTGCTTCTCCTCTGACTCAGCCTCCAACTTCTGTGCCCCTCCCAAAACTTAATACTGGATTCTTAAGCCCCATTGTGTGGCTAACACCTCTTCCCACATCCTCAATCTCTTCTCTGAACTCTTCATCTATTTCCTGCCCCCTTAGGTCACTTAGACATCCTCTGAAGTCTTCAAAATAGAGAAGGCTTTTCCTCCATCACCTTTTACAAACCAGGCTCTGCTCCTTTGAGGCTCCTGTCATTCTTTTTGTTCATTTGATACATATTTGAAGGCCTACTATGAACCAGGCACTGTTCTAGGAACTTGAATAAGTTAGCTGAAAACTCTGCCCTCGCTGGATACATTTCAGCGTGTTTGTACTGTATTGCACAGTAAATGCTATGGAAGCAGGAAAAAGGAGAACTGGCCATGAGGAAGAGGATTTGGCAGGCCTTGTTGAGAACTTGACATTTGAGCAGACTGGAAGGTGAGGGAGTTAGTGGGTGAGTATCTGAAGAGTGTTGGGGGAGGGACCAGCGGAAGCAGAGGCTGGAAGGCACAGGGCCGGTATGTCAGGGAGCAGCCTAGAGGCCAATATGGCTGGGCAGAATGAGCATTGGACAGTTAGAGGCTGGGGGCAGAGAAGGGAGGGGTCAGATTATATTGAATGTGGCTGGTCACCCTGAGGACTTTGGCCTTTACTGCCAGGACCATGGAGTGGGAAGTTAGCATGGGCAGGGGGCATTTCAGGGTCTTGAGCAGGAGGGGGGCGTAGTTCGATTATGTATTGAAAAGGATCACATAGGCTGTTCAGCTGAGACTACCTTGAGCCCCTGAATTA